GGGGGGGGGGGGGGCAGAAGATAGGTTTTCCTCTACTGCGCAGTGTCTCTGTCTGACAGCCAAATTTTCACACTAATTGACTCTTATCGTAAATTAGTATGGGCATTACATCCCCAAAGCTCAATCAATGTGTAATTTTTGAGTGCCGTGTCATATATAATACAAACATGGCGGAAGTGCGAAATTATGAGGTGAGGACAGCGCTGCCGTCATCATTTTCACAAGTTGATAGGTTTTAAGCCTGTGGAAACTGGTCACCCGAAACTAACTGATTGGGGCAGAGTCCTCCAGACGGTCACAGTCGCTCAGCTAGTTTGAAATTTCCTCATCTTTTATGCAATTCTGACCTGAAGAACCCTCAAGTGGAACCTATTCTAAGCTAGGTGAATCCAACCAACCCTCTCATCTATTTCTTTTTAAATGGGAATAAAACATTAAAAGATATGCACCTGTAACTGGGGTAGTTTTATGGAAACAAAAATTAAACACCAAATACTGATGAGCTATGGTGAGTTCCGGTAATTCATTGCAATGGTACATGCGAAGTTCAACCGAGTTAAGCTTTAACACACGACGCGGTTAAACCCCGAACGCCTCTGGTATGGCCTACGTTAGACTCTGTTCTACGCGGTCTATGGATAACTGTCAAAGTTGATAGTAATGCTCCTGGGTAAAGACGCTGTGAGTAGTAAGACTATCGAAATCTACAAACCTTCGGAGCACTTGAGTGTACCAGCCCGCGGTGAGTGAGTTTAGTACGAAATACTTAAAGATTTCCGTCTTCTGGGTTGTACACAGCGCAACAACCCAGAAGATGGAAATCTTCATACTCACTGCTGTTTAAACCTCAAATCTTACGATATACTTGTTTAATAATCATATAAAGATCATTAAAATAAAGAGACTTAAGGAAACTTGCGTGTCACTAGATTAAATCAAAGAATACTTTACTTTTATAATTGTTTCACATTAAGATGATATAGTTGCGTCATATTGTGAAAATATATATTTAATTAATTATCACAATTTAAAATTTAAAATTAAAATTAAGATAATTAAAATATCATGTGATGTTCCTATCGAAACATTCGATTTACATTTTACATTTCACATTGTTGATGTGACAGAACCGCTGTTTTAATTTGTGATTATGACGACATTACAATTCTACAGGCAAGAACCTAATGTTGTCTGTATCATCTCATGTTCCTGAACACTTCTGTAATTTTGAGGCATTGTTAGTGACTTACTGGTCTGAAATATAAATATTCTTTCTTGGTACGACACGTCATGTGACCTAGAAACCAAAATACGTGAAGACCGAAATTCTGGTTTCCTTTAACATCGCTTGATTAATGTACCCTCTTCACCAAGTTCACAGGCACAGCGTGACAACAATGGTTTTTGTACTACGAAATTATAAAGATAAAGTAAAATCTTTCAGTGAAATATTTAAATGATTTGTGGGAACAAAAACTGCATTTCAACTTATAACGGATTGGCTATATATTTGCTTTAAAACTGTGGTTAATAACGAAACGATGTTCTTTCTTTCTGCGAGTCCACTGAGATTCCGTGTCGAGCAAATGCCCATCCATTTTTAATGGATACCAGATTTATCGAACGTGTCCATTCTAGCAGCACCAACACTGACCACAGCGTCTTCCGAATTTTGATGGTAAAGCACGTTTCCAGTGGAATGAATGTACGCGGTATTCCACATCTGATTCTAGTTTTTTTAATCGTCGACCTCATTAAACGGGACGTTACGTTTGGGGGCGGTCCCACTGGGTGGAGATTAGTGAGCGACGGATGGTTGGACAACTCCATTTAAAAATTGATAACGTGGGAGGAAGCGGAACGCCCGCAGCCTCCCAAAGGCTCCGTTTGAGCTCACATGCGAGATGACTCCTGTTCCCCTTCAGCGACTTTGGCGCCCGCCTAAGACACTGTTTCTCCGCCCACATTCCCGCCCCTCCCGCGGCTGTTTGCGCTGCGTCTCTGGCCCTTCCCCTCAACCCGCCCTATCATTCTCTCGCCGCGGATGTTTGGAGGGCAGCCTAGGGTTTATTCCTTTTCTATTTTATCTTGGAAAAAGAATGTGGAGAAGATGGTATGGTTAACTTTTCTCAGTTCTCAGTTTACAGCGCTGTGGTGAAGGAATCTCTTGCTTCTTGGACTCTGAACGGCGACTTCAACTCAGCTACAGCCTTATCACTGTGTCTGTTTGTATACGCGCGCGTGTGAGATGAACGTACTGGCTGCAGCGTATCGAATGTGTATATACACATCGGCCTCGAGTGTTTGTAGTAAACTGTGGGGACTATAAGCTAACTTCAGACGCAAGGAAGTCGGCTTGTTTGGACAAGGCTTAACCACCAACAAGAAGAAGGGACTGGAGCTACAACGTAAATGTTTATCGAGTTTGTGGCAACGTTTGGTTACTTGTGTGATATACAATATGATGAAGAGTGAGGAATCACTAGTGGAGTCTCAGTTGCACCAACAGCATCATTCGGTGGTGCAGCAGACCATCAACATCCAGCAGCATCTACATCATCTGCACCAACACGGCGTGATACTGAGTAGCAGCGCTGACCATGGCGGCTCGGTGTTGGGTCTGGACACTGCGACCAGCATGCCTCAGCAGCAGGAGTCGGTGGCTGCTGCTCCAGAGCAGGAGAAGGCGAGTGAGGCCTCCTCAGTACCGGCGGCGGTCACCAAGAAGGGGAACCCGGGCGTTCGACGCCAGGAGAAGCCGCCGTATTCCTACATCGCCCTCATCGTCATGGCCATCCAGAGCTCTCCAGCCAAGAGACTCACTCTCAGCGAGATCTATACCTTCCTGCAGCAGCGGTTTCCGTTCTTCCGCGGCTCATACCAGGGCTGGAAGAATTCGGTACGCCACAACCTGTCCCTGAACGAGTGCTTTATCAAGCTGCCGAAAGGACTCGGTCGTCCTGGGAAAGGACATTACTGGACCATTGATCCCGCCTCCGAGTTCATGTTCGAGGAAGGTTCCTTCAGGAGAAGGCCACGCGGTTTCCGGCGCAAGTGCCAAGCCCTGAAACCCCAATATCATCCCCATCATCCGGCAGCGGCGTATTTCGGGAATCCTGGAACAGCAGGGTCGATGCTGGGTCCCGTGTCGTCACAGCCGGGTCACTACGAGTCACTGCATCAACAAGGGCTTGGCGGGCCTCAAGGTCAGGATTATCAGTCGACTTGTTCGTACAACGCGGCGCAGCAGAGCATGGGGCACCACTACGGGTACGACTACAGCGCGGCACCGTCGCCCAGCATGTACCAGCAGTGCTCATCGAACCGCGAGGGTACAGGCTGGGGCAGTCCACACCTCGCCTTCTCTACGGGGGACAACGCGTACATGAAACCGCCTTTGAGCCCGATACCGGAGCAGCACGGCTCCATGACCCCGCCCAGTGCAGCGCCCGCTGCAGCGGAGTCGTACACCTACCAGTACACCCTGCAGCCCAACTCGGACCACGGTAAGCACGAGGAGGCCCTAGAGCCAAGCTCTGTGTCCTTAATATTTGGGACGTCTGGGACGCACGCCGACGACGGTAAGCAGTAACATGCCTCCACCCGTTTCGAGGCTTCCAAAACCAACGAACCGAAAAAGCTAGGGGTGGAGACTTACAAAGGAAATAACCCCGTTTATTCTGATAATCGTACAAAATCCGTAAATACAAATTCCAGGTTTCTGATTGTTAAATGAAATGGTACATATACTAGTTTACCACTGGGATCCAATGATTTCTTAAACGCGGCTCTGAACGTTTAAATTAAACATGACTCTATGAAAGAAAGTCTTGCTATCAGCGATACATAAGTTAAAAAAATATAATAGTTTCATAAGCAATTTATTCCCTTGAATGCATTTTACTCACTTAAAAATAATACCTTAAGTCTCTTTCATAACAAATACATTCATTGTTTGATAAATAATAAACGCGGTTAAAAACGGGGACTTGCACAGCATTTAAATGCCTTGCAGCCGCAAACAGTTTTTTAAATGTCGTTGTTTCAAGTTGTGGGTATGAGAAAGTTTCCTCTAGACGTTTCTTCTAATTATTGCAGAACAGGGCTTATTCTACGTAGCTTATTGACAGAAACTGATGTGCATCACTTAACCAAACGAAGTAAGGTACATTTGCGGGTGAGACACGAGACTTACGATACGACTACTCTAATTCCGTCTGATGTTAAGATTGTCGGCGCCCTTTGACTTGCTTGAATGAGGTCATGAAAACCTTCATCTAGCCTTTATGGGAAAGCAGTTCTGTTCCATGGAAGAAAAAATTGTTTAACGATACTTTTTCTCTATTAAGCTTTGGCCTTCGCACATGAAATTCTTGGCGCTATGTTCTTCAACAGCATCCATAGAATTGCATCGTTTTTTTAGCTCATTTTTAGTATTCTGGTAGAAGTTTACCGACGTTTCATAGGTGCATGTTGCCTTTAGCATCAGAGAGATCGCTCTGGACGTGGATAGGTCTAAGGCTAACTCAACCAGAATCCTCAGTGGATCCTTTTTCCTTTTCACTGGAAGACGGAGAGAGACTCCAACTTCCGAAACGTAATTTTATTATTTCATAACTTAGGCGATGGACAAAGTCAAAAAGAATATTTTTACAGATTATTTTGTAGTAATGGTCCACTAAAATTTTCATTACCTCCAGACAAATCCTGGCTTCAAGCCTCGTGTGCGTAATCTAAAATATTTTTCATGAACCGTTGTTTCTATAGGTAGCTGTTTACAGTAAATCCTAGATCAGTAAAGCTGGGCCACCTAATTATTTGAAGAATGAAGCTCGTGCTTTACATACCTACAGAATTGCTAGGTTGTAAGACAGCCATATAATAGACCGCAAACCGCTAACACATCCGACAGATTAAGATGAATATTTTTCTGTTCTGAGAATAATTAACAGGACATTTATTAAGAACACGTATCTCACATTTCCTTTTCCTCTATCACCGCATCATCAAGAAAGGGAATTAACGTGGAACAGAAACTTATAAAGTTTAACACCAAGTGGTATTAGGCCGATTGAACTTTGGGTTTAGGGGTTGGAATCCCGCCCATAGCATGTAATTCTCTTCGTTACAATCAATCCAGTTTTGGGGTTTTCTCACGTATGGCTTCAAATGACTGAGAAAATTTAAAAATAACGAATTTTTCTTACAGGGTTAAGGTTTGAGTAGCCGATATTACCCTCAGATAGCCAAAAAATGTCCCGTCTTAAAAAAGAACACGAAGGTTCATTAACGGCACTGCAGTTGTAGGACCTGAACTTTTAAATATGTACATCAGCTTCGTGCTTCAAAGGACAAATGAGTTGTTATAACGTTTTCCATCAGCCTGGCTTACTGGCACTGTGAATATGTTTTAATACAGAGTGTTTTGGATATGGATCGCTTTTTAGAAACGCCATATGGTCCTCACTTGGTAATAAGTTACTATAAAATGCATAGAAACTATCTAAAATTTTACTCATCTGTGTTTTAAAAGAATTTTATGTTTTCTGGCCACAAATCTTATTTACCAAAGCATGAATATATCTGACCTTTCATGTGTTCAAATCGACTAATTTGAACCTTAACAAATTACGATCTGAGCTGTAATATTAAGAAGTTGTACCTTACACAGGTTTTCTGAAACGAATAATTATGTTTAAATGACACAAAACTATATCTTTGTCTGGTAATTTTTTTTAAAAAAAATTAGCGTTATATTTATAAATAATTGTAACAACTGTCTTCCTACAGTACGCACTTACTGAGTTTCTTTTACTATAAAGACAAATACAAATAAAATTGCTGTCAATGGAATTAATTATATCTCTAAGGCTAAGTATTAATATATTTTGAATTTCGAATATCATACCTAAAACTCAAAATAGTTATCCTCAAAACTTTGTCGTATAATGGTCTGAAAAAAGTGGGCTCACTCACCTGACTGAAATTTCTTGTCTATTGTAAATTTTACTGGGGGAATGCCTAAGAATTTAACCTACAATATGCCTTTGTATATCTACCGGGAAACTACAATATAATGAACATTTTTTGATAAAGAATGTGTAAACTATGCAATGTGGCCTTCTGGTTCTGACGAATTGTCTTGTAGGTTTAGCGTCAAAAATCTATATTCGAGAAGCAGATCTGGAGTTCTGAAAGTCTTCCAGACCTAAAGCCTCATTCAGCTCTTGTTATCGACTCGCGAACCGCAAGGTTATAAATGCGGACAATTGACTAAAACGCCATCGTATTTTATTATGATAACACTACCAAACTGAGTTTACTAGTTTACTTTTGCAAACATTTTCAAACGCTGCTCATTACCTTTCTTTAATAATATCGAACACTAGTAAGACAAACCAAACATATTCTGAATACCGGACACGCATACAACACAATAACAGGAACAATGAATATTTTAAAAATAGTACAAAATAAAAGACATAGAGATACAATAGAAAAATATTATATACAACAAACATTTAAACAAAACCTTTGCCTAAACGATAATAACATATACCTTAATAACCCCATCTTCAATGTCCTTCAGACACTTGACCCCAATCTCAACAACCACCTTTCACCTACTCTCTCTATAAGTGATCAGTATTGATCCAGTTCTCCTCGGATACGTTAGTACTTCTGAATACCTTCAAGACATATCTACGCTCTTCCTCGGTATGTTCATTTTTACATTTTACCTTCCATTTTTATTTATTTTTACCTTATTTCATTTTGTCTTCTATACTCGTTCTTTCAAGTTCAGTAATATTTAAAAATATTTTAAATTATTTACGTTACAGGCCAATGTTAAACCACTATCACTTCAAAATATACCCTCACTCCAATGAATTTGGATGTAAACATCATCAGAAGTTACACAACAACAGTAATTAAGTTTTAGTTTATAAGATTATAATTTTTAACTTTTAACTTTACACCTGAAGATGGTTCAATGTAACCGAAACATGTAGTAAAAAGATGTACCAAATATGTAAAGTAAACAAAAAGTGTTTTCTGATATCAGGTAACCATTCGTTATAAGATTCGGTAAAGTATTATTAAAATCCTACGCGGGCAGCAGAGAAAGGTCACAAACCTGCCTAATAATCCACATGTCTTATTACATTGCTTTGTGTAACAACTGAAACAGTAAGTTGGGCCTTCAGATATACTGACAGAATTGAAAAAATTACTTACTTTAAAACAGTTCAGCTGCAGCCACTGAATTTGACGTTAGGAATGCATGTAACTGTATGTTCTGCCACAGCCTGTCAAACAGGATCGAGTTTATAACACTGCATTACTTACTTAAATCTCTTGCAACACACGCCATGGAATATTATTTTGCACTTCGTCATACTGAAATAGTAATAACTTCCTAACAACTTGATGGTTACACAAATGTGAAACTTTACTTCAGGACAACGCACGAAATGAATCTGTGCCGGTTGCTACAGGTCTTGGTTCTGGTTCGGCGTTAGGAAGGAACACAACAAACTTACGCTCCTTACAGGGCCATTTCAAATGTTAAACAGTGCAGCAAAATATCGATTATTCTTTGGAATTTCTTTTCTTTCTCAAGTTCAGAACTGAGCAGAGTGATAGATACGGATTAACAGACGTTAGCCAATTTATATTACATAGAATTTATTTTTATCTTTATTTCTAGCTCGAGAAAAAATCGTATGTATCTTCATTATTTTCATTTTTTACAAATATTATTTGGGTGATCAAATTACGGAGAACATCATGAGGTGGGCATGGGATAAATTATCGATATACATAAAATTACAGATGGAAGACTGGAAGGGTAAAGATTACTTCGGAGACTTGGGAATAGATGGGAGGATAATATTAAAATTATTCTTTGATTTGGTTGGACTAGATTCACGTGACTCAGAATAGATAACAGTGACGGGCTTTTGTGAACAAGGTAACGGGCATTTGAGGTCCATAAGTGGAAGGGAATTTCGTGACAAGTAGAGAAACTATTGTTATATCAAGAAACGATTCTCATCCATGAGGTTCGTTGTTATAATCTTTCTACGCTTGTAAATTTAAGGTACGTAGCGTTAATTAATTTATAACAAATAAATGAACAAAGAGCATATTAACAAATTTGAAGCCTTAATTTGGTATCTATGTTGATTCTGCAATTTCACCTACAGAAATTAAACAACACAAAATGATACCTGAAATACTGAATGATGTGGATATAATGGGGCAACAATTTCTGTAAACCTTAATCAAATCGGTCAGTACAATTAACACAACAAACAAACCAACAACTTCTATCAGTATCCCAGCAATTATTTACAGTTTATTTTCCCAGACACGTTTCTGCCTCACGGGTTTTTTCTCAGTGGCTCTATATTAGGTTAGAACTTGCATAATAGTACAATATGTATGTAATACGACTTAGCTACGTCATTTTACGTTGTTACGACTTTATATTTTATTATGT